TTTTTACTTGGTGGGATTTGTTCTGTTAATATTGACATTTTAATATTTAAATCTATCTTATCTTTCTGTTGGTTTCACCGCCTTTACATAAAATTCAAACATACCCTCCTCTCACATTTCTCTAGGCTCTATTCTTGACAATGTATAAATATTTTTTACATGTGAGGTTCTGTATGCACGTAAACCCATTTCCACACATACTTACTGGCTACTTGAAAGGATCCCACTTGTATGCTTTATCCCAGATTTCCCTAGTGGTACCATTCTCCTGATTCTGTTTGTCTGATACTGTCCATAACAATAATTCTATTACACTAAACTTCTGAAAACGTTAAGTGGAAATGGATATGCTATTTATTGGATGTAAACAAATAATTATATAGTGTTTGATACAAACTTATTTGTCCAACAGATACTCTTTCATCATGTCTAATCCAACGCAGGCTGAGTCCCTCAAGAAGGGAGATGTGCTTTTGTATTCTTTGTATTCACAGCTGTGGCAGCATATGTTGTGCTAAAGGTAGGGAACGGGGAAAACTTAAAATTTGGTAACCTTGTGTGGTGGTTTAAATCTGCAAAGCAGCACAGCAAGAACTTGGTACAGAATACCTAGCAGAGGCTGCAGTTTAGGAGACAAAAGCAGAGCCTGAGCTACATGTTTGTCTCCTTTGAAAACAGAGAGGTGTAAGTCAGTTTGTCCTTAAAAATACTTGAAGATGTCTCTTGGATGGAAGACTTTTGAGGTGGTATGTGTGTGCGGAGACTTTATAGCAAGAGTTGGGAGAAGCTTACAAAGCTCTGATTCCCGTCAGAGAGAATGCCTCTATGTGCCTGATCGGCAGAAGGAAAGAGGTGAGGTCGAACGCATTTTGTGCAGGGCAACTTGCTTTTTTGTTCAGATATCAGCTGTAGGAGGGAAGGAGAGTTCTTGGGAGTGCATGCAGGTCGTACAGTGACTGATGGAAGGGTCTGGAATCTGAGTGAGAAGGGAATGGGAGGCTCAATTGCCCCAATTCAAAGATTAAAAAAGGCCATTTACCTTAACTCTGAGCTATACTGCTATTACTACAGATACCAATCACAGAGGCTAAACTGTTACTTTGATTTAAATGCACAGTATAGCAAAGTGTCTAACTAATGTTTTAAAAGTACCTTTACCTTTAAATTCTACACTGTAACATACTGCTTTAACTTAATAAAAATATTAATTTGAGCTCCCTCTTCTGGTCCTAATAAGCAATCATTTCTACAGATACTCAAGTCTTATAAGTAAATGAGGATTTCACAACAGAATTACAAGAAACAAACAAATGTAAACAACATTGTTAAAAAACAGTAAATATAGAAAAAAAATTCTTTCAGCCTTCAGAGAGGTTATTACAAACTTGATAGCAGTAGTTTATTCTACTTTCATATTTATCCCTGTGGCTGCACCCATTAGGTAATGCGGTTCCAGAAATATGTGTATTTCAGAGGTGAGGTTTCTCACAGCAAAATATTGTTAGACAGAGGTTTTAATAGTTACAAAACCCCCTTGTATTTTGTGTTTCTTTTTATACTGATAACATAACTTTTTACTTTTAGGAAATAATGTATTGTGCTTTTATTGACATTTTGAGTTAAAAATACTTGTCAGTTTTAAATTCAGCCAAATTCAGTCTTACTAAACTGTACTTTGATCATCATTAATGTTTTTTATCACAGTAAATTTTTAAAAATTTTATTCTGTGCTTAAACTTATTTAAAATTTCCACTTAAATGATACTAAAAAGTTATTACATTTATTTCATTAAATTGCTTTTTAGTTGGAAAATGGGTGGGATTATAAAAACATCAACTGCATTAAATATTACTTAGGAGTTGTGACCACTTTTCACCCACTTTGATGATGTCCAAGTAAAAGAAGCTCACTTTCCTTACTAGAAGGTGTACTTTTGACTTCTTGGTATTCATGTAGTACTTTTTTGCATTATTGTAATTCATATCTATACATGAAAAACTAGGTACAATATATCTCATAATGTTGCTGGCTGTGAAAACTGATCACTGATGTCATGTCTTAAGTGAAATTTACACTTAGCTGGAATTGCTCTTATTTTTAGCCTAAAAAAAAAAATCATAGTTTTGTAGGATCAAAATTGCAACTTCCAATTCTATTGAAAAATCTCTTTATACTTCTATTAAGAAAATGTTTTTAAAGGTAAAAGCAGAGACCAAATGATAGTATGTTTGCCCTTAAGAGTGGTCATTAAATAAAGAACTCAGTTCAACATGTACTTGTTGATGGTTTATTTTCCTGAAAGCAGTCATGAACTTTGAACATAATATCATGGGACAGATAAGTTATTGTTTTATCTGTATGATTTATTTGTGGGCGTATAGCTGTCATTCAGCTAGACACATTAACTGTTTCTGCCTCTAATCCAAGGAATCTGGCACAGGAGAAATGGTTTGTTGTCATACAGAGAGCGCTCTGAGCTGGTAAAGCCTAATTGCGTACGTTTTGGCAATTCTTAAGCCCCTCTAATTTTTTAAATAGCTGGCTTTCAAATCAATATTTTGCCATTATTATACCACTCCTAGAGGGTAGAACAGCATTTTTTTTTCACTAGTTTTAATCATCCTATGGAAAAGCTTAGATGTACCTTGGCTGTTTATGGTAGTAGAGACTGGTCAGTGATCCTAAGTGGAGGGGAAGGGGCTCCTTCCCATTCTATGCTGCTCTGATACTAAATATAAAACGTGTCTGTCTGTCTCAGGCTTGGGAGGAAGGGGAATGTGATGTGTGAATTCACAGCCAGTAATGGCATCCGTGCAGAATTGCTTTGTCAAGTTGTCAGTGTCTTTACAGCATGTTGTGCATATTAAACAGTTTCCAGGTCTCGTGTCTGTATGTCCCTGGAGTCTGTAGCGGTAGTTTCGTTGTAGCCGTATACCTTAAGGAAAGAGACAACTTTGCAGGTGGTGAGAGTATTTTTTTCTTAGCACAAATATAATTGAAAGCAACAACAAAGGTTTTCCAGTCTAAAAGACCTTGCACAGGTGTACCTGTTAGTTTTGGGGTTTTTTTAACAAAAGACACTACTTTTGTCAAGCAGCCTACTCTTGCTTTGGCACCCTTAGCATTTGTCTTCTGGCAGAGTAGCTCATTATTTACTTTACACTGGTTTTAGCTCTAATTTTACATGCACTGGACCTGTGTGGTCAGCCCTAGCCAGGCACTGAGCCCACGTGCTCCTTCAGTCACTGCCTGAGAGAAAGTTCCAGACTCGACCATAACGCATCACCTGTGCAACACTGGCACCCCTGCCTCCCGAGTGGCTTCGTCAACTTTCATTCTCATATTAAACAAGACAGGAAAATAGCAAATCACTGCATGTGAAAACAAAAGATGAGCACTGACACATCGCACGAAGGTAGTGGGATGAGCATGTTCAGAGGGTGCGTCGAGGCTGGCGTTGAGGATGTCATCAGCGTGGGGGCCTCCTGGCTGCTGCTTTGCTTACACTTCAAAACTAGGATCCACAAGCACTGATCACCACCATTCTGTGTGGTGAAGGGCACATTTGGGCATACAGTTACAGTTTTGTAGGAAAAGCCTGGTGCCTACGAGCTTTCCAGAGCATTCAACAAGGCCAAGTGCAAGGTGCTGCATCTGGGCCAGGCCAATCCCAAGCACAAGTACAGACTGGGCATAGAATGGATCAAGAGCAGCCCTCAGGAGAAGGACTTTGGGGTGTTGGTCGATGAGAAGCTCAACACGAGCCAGCAATATGCGCTCGCAGCCCAGAAAACCAACCGCATCCTGGGCTGTATCAATAAGAGCATGGCCAGCAGGGGGAGGGAGGTGATTCTGCCCCTCTACTCACTCCACTCTGGTGAGACCCCACCTGGAGTACTGTGTCCAGCTCTGAGGGCCCCCAACATAAGAGCATGGACCTCTTGGAGCAGGTCCAGAGGAGGGACATGAAGATGATCAGAGCATTGGAGCACCTCTCCTGTGAAGACAGGCTGAGAGTGTTGGGGTTGCTCAGCCTGGAGAAGACTCCGGGGAGACCTTATAGTGGCCTTCCAGTAGCTGAAGGGGGCCTGCAGGAAGGCTGGAGAGGGACTTTTTGCAAGGGCATGTAGTGATAGTGTGAGGGGTAATGGCTTCAAGCTGGAAGAAGGGAGATTTATAACATATTCAAAAGAAATTTTTCACTCTGAGGGTGGTGAGGCACTGGAAGAGGTTGCCCACAGAAGTTGTGGGTGCCCCATCCCTGGAAGTATTCAAGGCCAGGCTGGATGGGGCTTTGAGCAACCGGGTCTAGTGGGAGGTGTCCCTGCCCACAGCAGGGGGATAAAACTCGATGATCATTACGGTCCCTTCCAACCCAAACCACCCTATGGTTCCCTCCTACGCCGGGTCGGGTTGCTCCGGCTGAAGGGCGGCGCTGCCCGCGGGCGGGAGAGGCGCGGCCTTCGCTGCGCAGCCACAGGGAGGGCGCACGGCCCGACCCATTGCGGCCTCACGTCTCCCGCTGAGAGAGGGCGTGGGGAGGCA